GTTTTACCCGGCCATCTCCCACAATGTGACCCAAACACACAATAGACTTCTGGGCTATTTGTGACTTCTTTCGACTCAGTTTCAAGCCCGCCTCGTCCAATCGTTGCAATACAGCCGCGAGTCTAGTAGCATGCTCCTGTTCTGTTTCGGAGTAGATAATGATGTCATCTCCATAAACAACCACCCCTTGAAGATTTTCCAGGATCATGAGTAACAGTCGCCTGAATGTTGCAGGAGCATTGCACAGTCCGAATGGCATTCTCAAAAATTCGTATTGCTGGCCGTTCACACTGAAAGCCGTTTTATGCCGGTCTTCTTTTGCAATTGGAAGCTGCCAGTATCCAGAGCGGAGATCGATAAGAGAAATGTGCTTTGTGCTATGAAGACTGGCGAAAATTTCGTCCATTTGAGGCATCGGAAATGCGTCCTTCACGGTCACTCTGTTTAATTCTCTGAAGTCAATGCAGAATCTAAAGGTCCCGTCCGCCTTTTTCGTCAGCAAAACCGGTGATGAGTACGGACTAGTCGTTCGGCTAATGATTGCTTTAGCCTCCATCTCTGCCACCTGCTTCTGTATCTCCGGCATGGTTTGCTGCGGTATTCTTCTAAACAATGGTTTGCACCGCTCACCCGGGATTAGCCGTACTCCATGTTCTATCCAGTCGCAGAACCCATAGTCATCATTCGCATCCGTGAACAAATGCGCGTATTTCAGCAGCGTCTCGCGTATTGCGTGACTTGGACAATCCGGTATGACTGCTACGGACCCCACGCGGTTGGATTTTCCTGTGTTCATCTCGATTCTCTTCTTATCGACTATCACCACGTCATTACCCAAATCGATTCTGGCGCCAAGCCTCCTGAGAATATCATTGCCGACTGTCGTTTCCGTCGCACCCTCCACAACGAACATTGAATGACGGATTTGTGTCTTCCCTATTCCTAATCGTAGTCGTTGTACCCCCGGTACTTTAAAACGATATCCTCCGACCGTCCGCATTACAACAGATGACTGAGTTAACGGGACCCCATCGACTCTTTTCGTAATGGATACCCCCGCTCCCGTGTCTACTATGGCCTGTATTAACACGCCCTCGATGGTTATATCTAGAATCGGTACTTGCCATGCTCGGTATGGATAAAGAGAAACAACGATAAAAGTTATTGTTTGTACAATATCTGGCAAAATGACGCATGCGATTGCATCGAAAACAGCGGCCGCCACTCCGATTGCCGAAGCAATTCCGTTGTGCCGTATTTCTCTGGTTGTCCCTCGCCGACAACTTTTCGACCATGAGCGATAATTGGTGTACTTTGCGCTTCAGCTCGGATGGTTGCACTCTCTGTACGGTCACCGACCCCAAGAAACTTTGTGTAATGGTCACCAGTTCTTCTGCTTTTTCGACCCCAACCATTGACGCCAGCCTTACCTTCTCCTGGAGTTCGCTTGGCAGACTTTGTATAAACTGACCTCGCAATAATCGTTCTCTTGCCGCGGCGTCCAGCTCAGGGAGCCCAATTGCCACGTGTCTGCTCAGCCTGTGGAAAAACCCCACCAGATCTTCCGGCTCTTCCTACTTTGCAGAGTGAAACTGCTGCAGCGCATGTTGGCGGTCGATTTCTTTTCCAAACTCCAGCCAAAGTGCTGCCTTCATCTCCGCAAACGAACCACCGGCCTTGACTTTCCGAGTCAACAAATATGTCGCCTTCGCTCGTCCGGTTAACAGCGTACCCAAAGCTGTCAGTAGGTTCCCGTCTCCCTTCACTCCATTGCAAGCGGCAATCGCTTCGAATTCCTCCAACCAGGACTCCACATCACCATCCGCGAACTGCGTTGGCCAGCTCAATTTCATCCTGGTCACGGCACCAATGTAGCAAGAACGAGGGGCAATAAAGCACCAACTGTATTGCACATCACGATCCGTCTCACACGCGCTCACGCCCACACACATATAGTCACATTTCTACACCACAACGCACCAGAAATGCGATGCGGTCGACGGACACCTTCGCCCGCCAATTGGCGACAATTCGGCAACTCAGCTTCGCTGTTGTGCTTCATATCTCCGCTCCTGTACGTTGCTTTCCGACCAGCCTGGATTTGTTCGAAGGCTCTCGACTTGCTTGATCTCCCAGCCGTCACTCGGCTTGGAGTCATGCTTGGGGCATAACAATCGGCGTCTTTGTCTGAATTCTTGGCCTCTCCTCCAATATCGTTTGAGATCTTCCGGGAGCAGACTTTCTGCCCGTCGTCCGGTAGGGCCTGCGTTATGCTGACTGATTCCGGTGCCTCTGTCGGATACTCTTTCTTGCTCTTGTCGTTTTCTGCGGTTCCGTGTTGTCGAAGTCCTCCGCGGATCTACACTATGTCGAAGCTGCCATGAAAGTCGAAGTTGTACACCTCACTGAGCTGATTCTACATTTGTGTCGCGGTGGTAGTTTTAAGTACCACTTTGTTTGAATTTATTACCGCTTCAGTGCAAATGTTCTTCCTGCCGGTACCCGCGAGGATAAGTACAGTAGCCTACTGTCAACAATTGAGTAAGGGTCACAACTTCGATACGTTGCTCTACAGTGTATGGAGTAACCTTTTGTGGTTCATGTCAAGCTATAGGTAAAATACTTCAGAACTCAAACGGTTAAGGACACTGTAAACAGTAATCGACATGTTCTTTGTCGTACAGGGCCCAAGCAGCTAGCACAAGCTGGCATCGAGCGAAGTGGATAGCCAATACCAACAGGCACTTGGTAAACTGGGGGAAGATGCGTAGCATAAGGGGGCGGGAGAGATGGTCTGCTTCGGGCGGTAGGTGACCGGGGCGACAGTATCGTTGACGGTTCGCTATCAACTAAAATGGTACCGTTTCCAGATAAGCTAAGCTTTGTATTTTGTAATCTTACTTTGTATGACTAACAATATCTTTGCGCCATTATGCACAACTGCAAACGTTCTTTCCAGCGTTTCCCTTACTTGCCCCATTATGGTCTGCCGGTGCCCGAGTGGGCTGCGCGCCTGGTTTGCAACCACAAGGTCACCGGTTCGAATCCGCGTAATAGTGGGCATCATCGCGGTATACTCAGCCCACGCGCGACTGGTGGTGGCCGCGTGGCAGCGAAGCGCAGTTACGGCGTACAGCTGGCGATTAATTTTGTTAAGAGGTTGAGAAGTGGACATTTGTTGGTACAATTCTTAGTTACCAATTGGTTCACCTTCAGCAATCGTTGTTAGTGACATTTGTTTAAACACATCATTCCTCTAATTCCATTCGCTGGTTGTAGTCACTGTTTTTGGTCTCGGATCGCAATGCCACTTCGCTGCCAACACTTAATTCTCTCGTGCTTGCCTATTAGTGGTTCCTTTGTTGATCACTCTGCATTGGCTTCAATTTGATTGAAAGCTATAAGCAATATGCTTGGCTGAAAGGTCTTTTAGTGGCTTCGATTCAGACCATTCCTAAAATTATTTAAACAGATCTGATTCAATGCATAGGATTCTTTCCCGGCACGTCTTTGGAGTTCTTCTTGCGGTCTTGAGGTGAAGCAGTCAGCTGTAATACAACAATTTTTCCTTTTCATAATCACTTTCACCACATTTACCTATGTGTTTCACACGATCATCCATTACATCGAAAACTAATGTGCACTTATTAATTAACCGATTTTGAAGGTTTATATATTTACATCTGCCAGGGGGACGAAAATTTAAACTCCTCCCCGGGCGGCAGAAGTAGTTGCTGCGCCACTGATAGGGTGTATTTCTAGTGTGAGGAGTTTCCAAGGTGCGTTTTTAAGACACACCTGAAAATCAGCTACACCCAATCTCTGTGAAGATACGCTGAAAGTGGTTCGGCTAGTTAAGCAGTTAATTTGATTATCCGCTGTGTCAAGCTCTGCTCGCGGAGCTCAGTTGTCTGGTGATCATGTCGATTACCCCCAACCCCTAAGTGCCGGGTTCCACCCCCAATTTAGGCTATCTCTACCTGACGAATCCAAACCAGGTAGAAATGCGTCATAGAGTATGGATAAAAGAGAGGAACTCCGAAACGCACCACTTCGGGCAGCTATTTTCTTGTTCGTCGTTTGGGTGACGACGCAAAGTCGTTAGGTGAAACCGGAGCACTGATCATAAACTCTGCCATTTGTTGTAGTGTCACCTAGGTGGATGACATTGATTTGTCATGCTTATCCTCACTCTGTTCTCATTGGCTATTGTCGTAATGTTCAATCAGTAAGTCTTCATGACATGTCTTGTGTCATGTGATTAAGGTGCCTCGCAGTGGTCCGATAAACTGCTCCTTACCTGACTGCGATTTTGAGGCGTGCTTTGCCTAGTTCCGTCATCACGTACTATTCAGAGACTGGTTGCGTATTTTTCACTTTAATTACAGACCGGCACGCTGTCTATAGACTAGTCCCCACATTTGATGAACTCAGAATTCCTGATATTGTGGAAACGCTCATCAGGCAGTTCCGCCCACACGTGTGGATTTCCAGGAATGGAACCACATCTTGTCTTCCTTACACCAAATAGGGGAGCATTGGTTCCTTGTAGCTTCTGTTCGTGGGTGAGCAAGGCTCCGAAGTAAGAGCGAGGCGAAATTGCAGCGGGACTGACCTTGGTTCCCATGGGCGTGAAGGATGTTTGATTCTACTTACAAGATGATCTGTGACGAGACGACTTGGCATTTCTTCCCACAGATAACGTTCGCGGTCATAAAACTTTAAACAATTTTACTTTATTGTCCAGTTGCAGTGTAGTCCCATAGAGGTAGAAAATACATTTTGATGAATAACAAATCGAACAGTCGATCTGCTCCGATTTCGGTGCTGTAATACAGAATAACTTGAAACGAAGTTGCAAATGACCGTCACGAAATTGCTGGATCTGAGAGGCTACCTTTCATCATCGCTTTAACCTCCTATGGTTGTTATGCACATGAACAAATGGAAATAAATATCTTCGAGAGCGAAATGATCTGCGCGCTTGGCGTAGAACTTACTTGATCTCCACCGATATGTACCGCGCAACTTCTGCAATGCTTTTATGATAGTCACTGACAGCCTGCAGGTGTAAAAAGAAGGCCAGAGGACGAGTGAAGGTAAGGTTAATGTAACCCAGTCGCTACACTTGCTATCATCTGGAGCTATGCAACTACCGAAAATGACTTGGTTAACAGACTGTTATTAGCTGAAGTGCAATGCCGTGCCGAATATATTGTTAATGTTGTAACTAGAAAAACAGAGTTTGGCCACAACCGAGCGATAGGAGTGATACTAATAACAATATTCATACTCCTAAGGTTTATTACTGGTTTCGTAGGATGCACTTTCCGGTATTAAACACATATGACCCAGGCAACAAAGTGTAATGGGCCCCGTTGCCACGAATTACTTCACCAGAATAATAATAAATAACAACCGTCAGAAAAGGACGTTGAACGCAAGTAAACTGGCATCAAGACAGAAGTGCACCTAACTATTCCGCATGGGAAATCAATGGTTAGGTTCAAGAAACGGAATGCAGGCACACCTCCGACTGTGCGATTGCACCATGTCCAACCCCTAGTGAGGACCATCTCATGACCCCCGTCTACGAAGACGGCACGCACCAGTTTGACCGATTCCCTCAGTCCATTTCTGTATGCATTTACTCCACCTCCTCGACCGGTCACCTCGCTGTTTCATCCAACTTCGTGCAACGATGGCGTATAGTGCAGGCCGAAGAAGCCAGTCAAAGGGCATACGGAGGCCATGACCTGCCCAGCGTAGGCGGTTAAGAATCAGCAAACACTCAAGTGAGGAAACAGAAGGCTTCTTGCCAAAAACCAATTGGTGGACCTCAGGATTGCTCACCCGGTGTTCACACCAGAGTTGAGCAATACTCCGCAAGCACCGGTGGTCAAACACAGCCAAGCTTTTAGGTCTTCACTGCGAACTGGCCACGTCTCTGATCCATATAGTAAGACCGGCCTTACAGCAGTGTTTTGTGCCCTACTTTTCACTTACGGGCTGATATCTCGCCGTACCCGTAAGTGTTTGAGTATTTGGAAAGCCACACAGTCCTTGCTGATACGCGAAGTATCTTCCTCAGTGATGTGACCACCAGAGGGACACAGCTACCAAACGAAGTGAACCGATGCACCACCTCCAGTGGATGTTCGCTGAGAACTAAAACTATTGATGTATCGGTCCAGTCCTGCAATAACACTGCACTTCGAAGGAGCAAGTCACATGTCGTAGCGTGCAGCGGTACACATCAGCTTATTCAGCAGTGCGACAGTTCATTGCTTTCAAACTAATTGTGATCCACCGTTTGGAACGTGAAGAGGGGGTGGCATACAAGCTCGTTGCACCAGTGATGTCGATGGCCCCTAAGGTTTATTCACTAGTGTCACCTAGTGTCAACGGGCTGCGCTTTCACTCGACTTAACTGACGGACTAACTGTTAGCATCCGGCCAATGAAAACACAGTCCCTTCACAGTTGGCGTCAGAGGATTGACTCAGAGCCACTGGCTAAACGCACAGGGTTTTGAAAACTATACAATTTCTCGGCCAGGTTGCCGTCTTGGGCAACAGAATTAATCTGAGGGGCATCCAACGTGAGTCTACTCAATTAATTTGAGCCTTGCGTACGCCATTTACATGTGCAGGTGTGTAGATGTGCGTGTATAGCCCGTCGCCTTCAGCCAATTAGACCTCAGGCGCACTAAATCATAGGGGTGCAGATGGGACGCTTCAGCTCCTACCAGGGACAGTGTCGCTGGCCCATGCACCAGGTTGGCCTATGTTTCACAAATTAATTGAGTAGATTAATGTTGGATGCCCCTCAGATTAATTCTGTTGCCCAAGACCACAACATGGCTGAGAAATGATGTGGTGGACATATTTTGGAAAAATTTTGGATATTTTTATGTACGATTGATAGAAATGCTATGGGAGCGCTACATCTAAGTCACTGTGAGGTAAAGTTCACTATAGAAATGTTTCAAAGGACACATATTACTTCTCGGATGTCACTTTGAAGACAAGACCAGATGGCTTACCGTTATGATCGATTAACCGTAAACCGGCCTGTAAGCGTCAGTATTTAAAATCTAGCAGTTACTGGCCCATGAAACATAAGCGATCCTTGTGTTGCACTTGTTATGCGAGGCCATACCTAATCTAACTTAAGATTCAATCATCAGTGAATTACAGCGTATTGTCTGCAACACTAAGTGATAACCGGTACCTAAGTACATTTCTCGCCAGTAATGTGAAAACAGTTGCCCAACTAAAAAAGCAGTCTAATGTTCCCAAGGGAAACGTTTTCTTAGACTGTCCTTCAAAGGGAAATCAAATGATTAGATGACTATTACCGACTGCACCAATCCATAAAGAGATATTACTATGCAGCAAATTGCAACATTTATCGTGAAAGTGCCGATATATATATATATATTTGAGATACATCCCTTTTGTTAATAACATCATATAAAACAACCTATCAAAGTGACTCGATGTGCTATGAAAGTAACATCAACCTCTTCCGGAAAACAGCAACACATAACGGTACTTGCAACAGCTTCGTCGAAGCCACATCGGAACTGCTAAATATGATGCAATCAGGACCAATGCACCGAAAGCCTCACCTTTGCGGCCGATTCAATTGGGGTGGGCTTCACTTCCTTCGCAGTGATATATGAGCGTATCGATTGGTTCACTTCCTCCACCGTTCGCTTGGCTACTAGCGGACGCTCGATCTCTATCTTCAACACTATGAATGTCTGTGCTTCCAGATATTGTTGTGCCTCTCGGTTGGATGCTGGCGCAGAGGCCGCAGTCTCTGTCTTCACAGTCTCTCGACCCTTTTCCTCCAGTGTACGGCCTAGTTCATCGGTGGCGCCTCTGACACCCTGTTGTAGAGTCTATGAACAATGAATAGTGATTTAAAACTATCAGAAAAGCCAATGTCTGATATGTCCCTTAGGATGAACGGAATGAGAAGTATATAACAAAAACTAAAGAGTATCCTGGAATTGGGAGAATTGCGGATACTAGCTAACTCTAGGCTATTCACAAGAAGACAATGTAAAAGTTCCTCAATGTTGCGTGACGGAGAGGGCTGAAGAGCACGTGAGCTAGTTCGTGTTACTTCGGATTGAAACGGATTATATCACATAGTACAAATGTGCTTAAGTGTCTTTAAGGCGTTTTCTGTAAAGCGTTAACATAGACGCAAAATGATGTGAGTTAGAACAGCGTCCTATGCCCGGGATACCCGAGGGACCTCCATGTTCGGGACGCTGGAAGGGAGAAAATAGGTTGTCGGCAATCACATCCATTGTAGCGCGTAATGACTCTAGGCTTGTGCCCACTCAGGGTAGTACTGTTCACTGTTGCAGCAGATCGCAACAGGCATTAAGGTGTTCACTAGCATAGGTACTCCAAGATGGAATTTCCTTGAAGACGCCGATCCTCACCACTGTATAGTGTGGAAGCTTGCATCCGAGTTTCCAGGGAATGGAAACTATCTCCTAACGATTCTGACTAGCATCAGCATCATGTTTGCGTTACGGACGCCAGGATTAAATATTATATTTTACAAAAGAGCTCAAGAACGCATTCCAGGCTCTTCGTAGGGGAGTCAAGTTTCTGCTTTTCTCTTCTCCTTCCTTTTCAGACCTGTTTTGAGCAGAAAAGATTATCCTGCACGATTATTCTAACATCTTTCCTGGAAAGTGCACTGTAACAGCGGTTTCTAAGTCAATCTTCATGCGTAGGATGATGGTTTATGATCACGGCTTTGCATTTTGCTCTTAAACTGAAGTCGATTCCCGGATAAACGCGTGTTGGTGCTGTTGAGATTTCACTGCAGTGTGATGAGATTATCGGCTGTCTTGATTTCATGTCAGATCTTGACATCGTCTGCAAATAGTAGGAAGTTTGACTACACCATTTCTCGGCCAAGTTGTCGTCTTGGGCAACAGAATTAATCTGAGGGGGTATCCAACATGAGTCTACTCAATTAATTTGAGCCGTGCGTACGCCACTTACTTGTGCAGGTGTGTAGGTGTGCGTGTATAGCCCGTCGACATAACTGTCCACGACCAACTGGACTAGGCAAGTTCCGAACTTTGGTATGCGGTGGCAACAACCTTCGTTATGCACAGGAGACACTGATAAGTGTCGCGAGATCCTGTGCTATGTTGCAAGGGCAGTGGTTACTGACATAACACGGAAACATAAAATTCCTCATCCTTGTCACTTGGGGATCGTGCTACTGTGCCATCGCGTTGTAACGAGATGACGCAACCAAAAACGCAGACACCTCCAAGTAGCAAGGATGAGGAATTTTATATTTCCGTGTTACGTCAGTCACACACTACCCTTGCAACATAGCACAGGATCTCGCGACACTTATCAGTGTCACCTGTGCATAACGAAGGTTGTTGCCACCGCATACCAAAGTTCGGAACTTGCCTCGTCCAGTTGGTCGTGGACAGTTATGTCGACGGGCTATACACGCACACCTACACACCTGCACAAGTAAGTGGCGTACTCACGACTCAAATTAATTGAGTAGACTCATTTTGGATACCCCCTCAGATTAATTCTGTTGTCCAAGACGATAACTTGGCCGCGAAATGGTGTAGAGCACACTAGCATGCTCGTTGATGAATACTCGGAACAGACGTGATCACAGTAGCAATCCTTGGAGAACACCATAATGGACATCAATTGGGTCGGAAATGATGCTGTAGACTCTCATATACAGTCGAAAATAAATGGGGAAGTTGCTTATCCAACCCAGGAAATGGTCGTCGATTCCATAGCTTCAAACCTCGGGAAGGAGAGCGCGGTGGTACAGTCGATCGAACCATTTCGAGAAACCCACGTAGACTCCTATGCTGGGTCTATTGATTCCGTCCAGCTTGCCAGGGCTAGCGACAACTTTGTAGTGCAGGGCCGACTTCGGCGGAATCCATTCTGCTGTGACACTATGATGGTTGTCTCAAGGTATCCCCTGTGTGCCTCTGCGATAATACCCTCCATTTCTGTGAATAACACTCGGAGGAGGGAGACTGGACGGTAGTTAGAAGACCCCGCACGATTGCCACTGACGTAGGTAGGAGTAACCCTTCGAGTTTTCCTCATTGCTGAAACTTGCATTTCATTATGGCATGGTTGAATAAATCGAGTTAACGGTTTGGCGATATACATGGCCGCTGTCTTTACTGCCTTCGGTTTTTTGTCGTCCACTCTAGGACAGCTGTGCACTGTAGCGCCGTAAAAGATAACTGCTATCTTTCGCGTACAATTTAATTGTTGACCGATGGTACATTACTCCTTCTTGTTTTAATCTTACAACCGGCTCGACACACGACTGCCTTGTAAGTTCCCGCGCGCACGTGTACGCCCTCGTTTCGCTTCATCCGACCGCTTCTTATTGTAGCCCATCGAATACAACCTGCTGTGTCCGACTCCCATTGCCTTCTGATATTTGCGCTTACTTTCGCGCACCGTCTCGGACTAGTATTAACTAGTCCTACAAATTGGTGACCCAGATTCGCACGCGCGAATTCAACGCATTTTTTCTCGTTTGTATTTTTTGGTGTGTTCGTTCCTTTTTCTCGATTAAATACCTGTATTCATTTGTTTCTTGCCTAATTTTGGTACTTTTATCGTATTTTGTTCATTTTTTATCTTTCGACTCACTTCGAGAGGGGCATCTGAGTCGTTTCTACGTGGGACGAGGGTCGTTTTGGCGCGGGGCGGGGTGCGGCGAGGTGAGAGACCACTCCCAAGCGCACTGTTTGGCAGCAGCGGAGGTTGAGGTCCTGTCGGCCTTTGTCTGGGCTAGCCAGTTTTTTTTGTAGTCCGACAAGCCCGCTCCAACGGCTCGCCGAAATGTACCCTGCCCTGCAATCAATAAGTAACAAATCATAAACGGCACAGCGGACTACGACTTCCGACTAACCCCCATTTACACGAACGCACGCTCATTTTTATTCGGCACGATTTTGCTTTACGAACCTCGTTTCAACAGTCCTTTTCGATTTCGAAGGCTTTCTATGTTCAGCCTTCTAGGGGGGAGCTCTGTAGCGCCCTAAAAGATAACTGCTATCTTTCGCGTACAATTTAATTGTTGACCGATTGTACATTACTCCTTCTTGTTTTAATCTTACAACCGGCTCGACACACGACTGCCTTGTAAATTCCCGCGCTCACGTGTACGCTCTTGCCTCGCTTCATCCGTCCGCTTCTTATTGTAGCCCATCGAATACAATCTGCTGTGTCCGACTCCCATTGACTTCTGATATCCGCGCTTGGTTCCGCGTATCGTCTCGGACTAGTATTAACTAGTCCTACAGCACTCGCAAGTTCAACAGATCTTGTGGTCACATTCGATGCAGTGAAATTTTTGTGGCAATGTGAGCCGTGTCATAGACACATGAGGTGGCTATTCACACTGGTAAGTCCGGAATTAGTTTTACTGAATCACACAGAGATGCTCATACCATTGAAATATCGTCGGAAATATGTTGTGAAATCTCCCGTGTGTCCCCTTCTCTGTGCGGGTAGTTATCCTTTATTTTGCCTGTAAAAAGAAATGCCGTGCCATGCTTCATGATGCTGTAGATATGATGTACGTAAATAAGGATAGCAAATTACCACTGCCACACCCCTGTATGACTGTTTTAGGGAGTGAAAAACTGTTGCCTATTTGTACCACTTGGCATCCTACTCAAGTGGTTTGCCGAAGGCCAATTGAGTTCTTTAATAGATTTAGAAAGAAATCTTTGCATATCTATCGACAAGTGCTATAAAATCTCTAGATCGGAGCAATCATTTGTACGCAGAATCTATGGCATAGGTACCGTCTATTAATAGAATGAGAAAAAAAATAGTATGCATGTAAATATATTTTCAGTCAAAGCATGCTAAAAGCAGAAAACACATTGCTTGTTTCATAAACCAAGGACGCGTTCTTCTGAATGTTTGTTCGTTCAGGTGTATATTCTACCGTTTTTAAAGGTACATCCTATTGAACCTCAAAGGTGCTCATTCGAGGTATGGGCGGAAACGTGTGTCAGGAGCACAAGTTTCAGTGGGTGTTGCAGGAAGAATATATTGCATGTCTGTTGCTAGCGCCTCAGATGTTGCTAATACCAACTGTCGTTAATGGATACGGACGTTGCTGTATGATAAAGGTCCTTAACACATTCAGTGAGTTGAGCAAAGTTTCTGGGGCTAGTCGGAATGTGGCAAAGTTTGAACATGCGCGTCCATGTAGGGACAATTTGCTTCGCAGATTGGTATATCTCACTAAGATGAAAGTTGATTTATTCATATGAACTATGAATTGGGATCCATCATTCTCAACCACTAACCCGACTATGGCTGCCGGTGCATTTATCAACAACATGGCTGCGCGTACTGATGAACTGTCACCTGTGGTAAAAGGCCGCACCTACAAGCAATGTGGCAAACATACGCAACTGAAAAGGCCCAAATAAAACGGAAGAAACTTATGGTTTCTAATCACAGGACCAACATTTTCGCTACGTAATCATGTATACATTAAGGCATTTTAAAGCTATAACTGCTAAAGCAAACGCCAAAGTCGCAGAGGAAATTCGAGTGCTTAACAATCCTGCAAATGCTGGGGCACTGAGATGGCTACTTCTGACTAGAAACCCCAGGCCGTATCAAGCAGTGGAAACATTGGCATTACACAATGACTTATCATCGTTTGACATATCCTGTTTATGCGCGTCACACAATTCCAGCTTAGCCTTCTCCTTTGTTATTGACCCCCACAATTCCCAACTCCCACGCCCCGGAAGGACGAGCAATCTGTTCTGTAATGTGCGGGTGATGTCAGTAGAGGTGTAGAACGCCATCACATCCGCAAAAGGCCCGG